CCCCAAAACCCCAAAACCCCAAAACCCCATGTGACTATTATGCAAAATTTAAAATGCACCACAAAATTATAAATTCTATCATTAATTAACCAATTTTAATAATTTTTTATCAGAAAAGATTTCTTTGAAACTGTTATAAAAGCTGATGCTATTACATAGTATATATTAATTAGGATAATAATTAAGGACATTATTTAATAAGAAATGGATCTTTAAAGAGAATAGGAAATTTAATAACCTTTACTGGAGGGTTAGATCGCAAATTAATCATAGACTAATGAGAAGAAGACCAAAGGACTAGTACCTGCAATAAATAAAGAGTATCAATGGATACTAGACTAGTTTAGAGAAACTGACTATTCTAAAGCAGATAGCAGGATTAAAAGTATACCATTCATTTTTGAAAAAGATGGGAAAAATATTTCTGTCAAGCAAACCATAATGATACCTCATAAGAAAATGCTAGTAGTAGAATATTCCTATGATAATAAGGATGAATTTAGAAAAATTGATTTCATAGATTTTAAAACCTTTTAAATTTTGAAAACAGTTGAACTAACGGTTAAGAACTCTGTTAGTAAAATTTTTTACACTGAGTTCAATGATGTTGATTATATCTTTTACCCCGAACAATATTCTGTATACTTAATCAAACTTGATGACATGCTTGGGGAAAAGTCTGATTAGCATTTAATTTAATTTGATTTCTAAAAAGACGGATATTTCTTTAATGCATATGTCACGGACAAATTCAGCATATTACTAGTTTATAATGAAAACACGTATATATTTAAACTTGATAACTCTCCCATAGATTAAATTAAACCTGACGAAAAAGTAGGCTTTAAAATTAATATTATGAGTCACTTAGAACTTGAAAAATATAGAAACGAATGTTAATCTCTATAATCTTTTGTAAAAGATAGTGATCAAAGTTTCTATCGGTTCTAAAGCAAGGACTACAGTTATGACTCTCTATACAAACTAAGGAATCACTTCATTTTTCATTATTAAAGTGAAGAGAAAACAATATTTATTGATAATAATTCCCTTTAAAAAGTTAAACAATTCGATAAAATCTATTACTCAATTAAACATTTAGACTTGTATGAATATGTTTTGGATAAAGATTTTAATATTTACACTTATACCAATCAAGACGGTATTACTTTAAAGCAAATTCACTAACTAAGAAATTCTAGTATTCGATTAATGAAAAAGATAACTACCACATTAAATAAATTTATTATTTTTTCATAGAGTCAAGAAGGTGATGTTTCCTTTCTAGTATTCGATTCAATGTCTTTTCAACTAATAGATAAAATTTTTAACATTATTGATTCGTATCCTAGATTGTTTTAAATAGACATAATTAACGATAAGGTTTACTTTACTAATAGTAATTTGAAGTTATAGATTAACTATTTTTAATTTAGTACAAACTTAAGGGAAGGTTATAAACTAGTCCCAATTATGTATGAAGGAAAACAAGTATTTAAAAGAGATTATTTAGATAACATTAGTAACTATCTTATTCATAACTCAAAGCAGGATGATTTGATAGTGCTTTTGGACTTAAATTCTGGAATTAAAAAGGAAATATCATGGAAAGAATAAGGAAAATGCAAAGAATATCTTCGTTTAGATCATTAGGCCATGTTTAATCCAAATTTCATTGAAATGATATCATCTTGGTCAGATAAATATAAATTAGTAGATCATATCAACATAGAGGATATTTTTATCAAAATTGACTATGAATACATATATCTTAATGATAATCGCAGGGTTAAATGGTCAGATTTCAGAAATAAGTCTGGATTTTTATTTGAAAAAGATTTCAGATTCTGTATTATGCATAACTATTTAAATGATAAATAATACATCTTGGTGTAATCAAGTAGTAATAAATTAGTTTATTTTGATAAGCAAAACTAAAATTTTTAAGAGATTAATTTTACTGAAGAATTGAAAATATTAAGAGATCCTAAAGAAGCAACTCTAGATGAAAATCTAGGCTACTTATTGATAAAATATTAAGATGATGTCAGAATATTTAGTCAAAAAGATTGGATGATTATTAAAGATATATCAGGCCCTTGGTAGTCAAATTCATTTTTTATGAAAAATAACTATATTTAAATAAATTCTGAACAATAAGGCACAAACATCATATTTTTCAAGAATAAAAAAGTTGACAAAATTATTCAGATCTAATAATTAAAATCGTTTAAGGATCTCTCAATATTTAAATCTAGTCAAAAAGAGTTTAATTACAAGGCTAATTATATATTTAGAAATGAAGGCTAAGGGAGAGATTTCTAATTGTATAATATGACGCTAAACAATTTCGAAGACTTGTTTAATGAAGAATTATTGATTTAACCTGTTTTTCCAGCATTTTATTTTGACTATGCTTACAAAATAAACATAAACTCAAGCTAAGTAGAGATATTTATTAAAGGGGAACAATAGTAAGTTGGATATTTTGATGTAGATATTTCTGATCACCTAATATAAACTTATGGAGAAATAATTACCTTACCTAATGAAGTGATCATCTAGGAGCTTACTCATAATGTAAAAAACTACTTTAAATTTGTTGCTGGATATGGAACAGTATTTGGGTTATTTCAAAACAATCTAACTGCCCTAGAAGTCATTGTAAAATAGTTATCATTAAAAGATAAGGAATCCTTGCCTATTCTAATTTGCTAGAGAATGATAGGAGAAGACTCCCCTTTAGATTTCTCAATTAAAAATCATCAACAAAAGATAATTAACATAATTCTTTCGATGATCATTAAATATTAAGATCACATCTTGTTTAACTAACTCATTGACAAAAATTTTTGTGAATTAATCATGCAATAGATTGACTTATAAGAATACTTTGACAGTCACCTTCCTATTTATGAAATTCTTGATGTATCATACCCTAGTTAGCACTCTGATAGCAAAGAGTTGATAGAAGGAATTAGATTAGATAACCCTAAAGATGTCCACTAAAAATATGATGAATTATTTGGGGGAAAATTGGATGATAAAATACACGAAGATAATTTTATTGCATCTATTGAATATCATTTGATCAATTTACCAACAACTTTAAGCATTAATCCCGAATACTTAATGAAGGTATTGAGTTTAACAGAAAAGCCAGAGTATTTTGAAAACAAAACAATATAAATTATTATCAATTTCAAATGGAATAAATATTCTTAATAATTTTACAAGAATAGATTCTATGTTTACTTGATTTTTATGGCTTCTTTTATTTTTGACATTTTTTATTCTACTTACGCAACATAAAAAAATTAGGAGGAGACTGAAGTGAGCAGTTAGGAAGCTGAAGACTCGCTTCCAAATATATGGATTAAAATTACCACAAAAATAATATGCAGTCTAGTACTTATTTATTTCTTAATCTATGAGATAAAACAAATCAGAATTTAAAGAAGTGAGTACTTGAACGATGGATGGAATTTATTCGACTTTTCCCACATTCTTGCATTTACTACATTTTGCATATTGGATTTTATAAGCTAGAATCAAGATAACCTAATCTTGATTAAAATTCTGGTTATACTTTTATCATTTATGAAGCTCTTTTTCTTTTTGAGAATTTATGATGGCTTCAGTTTCTTAGTACAAATGATGGCTGGAGTCTTTAAGGACCTTAAGTATTTCTTGATATTCTTTATAATTTTTATCTTGCAATTTGGTATGATATTCTTAGTCCTCTTCAAAGCTAAGTAGATCGATGAATATAATGGTGTGAATAAATTGGCATACTTTTTAATGGCTTTCAGAATATCATCAGGCGACTTTTAGCTTGATGATTACCATAGTTAAGATGATGGGCTAGTAATTCTTACATGGATGATCTGGCTAATAGCTGTCATGACTTTGAATATCGTATTTATGAATTTCATCATCGCTGTGATTTCAGAATCTTATGAGAGAGTCATGTAAAAACTTGTGGCTGAATCATATAGAGTAAAAGCAAATATGATTGTTGAAAGAGAATAGCTATTCAATAAAGATGACTTGACAAGCTAAAAGTATTTCCCAAATTTTATTGTTGTCAGAAGACCTTTAAACACAGAGTCAAATGATGCTGGGGAATGGCAGGGATTCATCAAAGACCTTAAGTACACCATAAGAACAACAGTTGCAAAATCAAAGGGAGAAATTATTTAAAATCTTTAGGCAATTCAGACTTAGAATTTAAAAAATGGTCAAAACCTTGAGAAGCAATTTTGTTAGTTGTAGGAGAATAGTAAAAATGACTTCAGTCTTTTGAGAACAGAATTTCATAGTATACTAGATGGACTTGCCACATAAGTTAAAGGCCTTAAAGTAGATAAGATTGATACAAAAGGTGAAGAAATTGATTTACAGGTTAAAAACTTTGATGCTAAGGTAGGGGGAATCGATTCTAAAGTCCTTAAAATTCAGGAAGATATGGAATTCTTAAAGAGTTCGATGACCTAACTTCTTCAAAAAATTAATCAGTGATATTTAACTAAAATTTGAAGACTAAACAGTCTTAATTTCACTGAATAATCATTTGTAGCTTGCTTATGGGTATTGAAATTAATAATTAAATTTGATTGAATAATTAAATCCCATAATAATTAGATTTATTTTTTATTTTCTTAAATTTACATTCTCATTTAATATAAAAATGGAAAAATTCCGGGGTTTTGGGGTTTTGGGGTTTTGGGG